GTGAGGCTAGGTGTTCTAGTCCATTTACTTGTGTGTCTTTTGCTTTTCTTTTCTCCAGGGTGTTTGGTTAAGGCAATGAAGTTCTGTAAAAATCCCTGCCTGGCCATTTTAACCAGTAGCACATTCAAGGAAAAATAAACAGCTATTTTGTTTTATTCCACTTTCACTGGACATCCATGACTGGCTCACTCCCGAAGCACGCTGAGCCTGTCGCTGCCTCTCCTTTCTTCTTTCCCTCAGCCTCCATGAGAGCTTGTGGACAGACTAAGCCATGGGGCAGTTTTCTCTGCTTCTCTTCTGGTGTGTTGTCAGTGTTGAGTATACACTGGGAAAGGGCAGAAAGAGCAGGAAGGCTTTTTTTCCTGTAATTTATCTGCCATGTTTTACAGCTGAGGAACATGAAATTGGAAGAACTTCAGTAAGTTCACCCCTGGCTAGTCAGTAAATGATCAGGCCAGGACTCAAACCTACTCTAACTGCTTGTAAAACCCACGTTCTTTCTAAGGCCCTGAGAATGAAAATTATAGATAGCCTTTGAAATGGGCTAGGTACAATGCCAAGCACTCTTACAGATGTTATCTCTGCTTGATCTTCAACAGGCCAGTTGGTGTTAGCCTTTAAGAGGTGAAGGGACTTGCCCAAGGTCACACAGCCAGCAAAAGGCAGAACTGGGCTGTTATACTCCGTTTCTCCATGATACTATGTGACATGGCTCCAGAGCCTACCTGCTGTGTTTCGCCAAGCAGGAATGGAGGTTGCTGGTTTGGGGGGTGGGAGGGGGAGTCTGGCCTCGCTCCCTTGAAAGTCAGAATTCAGTGCTCAGCTCTAAGAATGAGGCCAGTGTTGATGGAGTCTGTTCTCAGGGCCCAAGTAAGCCAGGAGGCCCACAGAGCCTCTTTCTTAGCTTGAGCCCACTCACAACTGCAGTTCTTCACTAATTCAGATTTAGCTGTTACTATTTCAGGTGTTTTCGCATGAGCTGCCAAAGGGGGCAGAGACGTGAGGAAGCCTTGCTCTAGGGAGTTGTAGGGAGGGAAATTGTCTGACAGAAGATCTTGGGCCAAGTGCTGGGGGTTGGGTTAAACCACTCTTTGGGTCCAGATCTTAATCTCGCTGAGGAAATCAGGCTCCCTGTTGACTGGAGCGGGTGTGTCAGACCTTTCTCCATACTTAGTGCCCCACCCCGCGCCATGCCCCATAGAGGAAGAGAGATGAGTTTTTCCCGCACGTACTGGAAAGCTTGTTGCTGTAGCAGTGGTGAGGGCTCAAGGCAGAAAGGAGAGCAGGCTTGCCTCTGCCGTCTACCTGAGATCGTGGGCACCTCCCGGCAGTACTCTGGCCCAAAAGGCTTAGTTTTGTTTGTTGCTAACCACTTATATATTGAAAAATAAGCCCACTTGCTCTCTGGCTTGGGCTCGCCCACTCACCTTGCTCTCCTGGGTGTCCTCCCTGCCGCCTCTTGGATCCGTCGGTTGCTTCCTCAAGGCCTGGTGCCCAGCGTGTTTCTGCTCAGCTCCAACCAGAGTGTTCTTTTCAGTCACTGCACCGCCTCATCCAGCTCCATGGCCTCTCCTTGTCCAGTGTGCCTCCCTCCACAGAGGGTCCTGGAGAAAGGCCGCTTAACACATCGCCACAACGACCATTCATGAGACGCATTCCCTGCTGCCAGCAACGTGCTTTTCATTGCCGTTTTTCACCTCCTCTTCACAATAGCCTAGGACAGACGTCGGACTAGCCTAACTTATAAATGTCAGAGCAAAGGTTCAGAGGGGATAAATGACCTGGCTAAGGTCATGTAGATGGTAAGTGGCAGGCAGGACTGGGACTCAGCCTGTTTTAACTGCAAATCCTGTGCTTGTAGTGCCATGATGTGCTCTTTTTTAAAGGAACCCTTTGAATGTAGATACCTGATAAAGCTGGGTGATGGTTACCTGGAGGTTCATTACATTCTTTCTGTGAAATAGAAAGTAACCTTGTAAGACTTAGTGATACAAGAAATGCATAAATATAGTAAAAATTTTATGTGGTGCAAAATATGAAAACGCATTCCCACCCCTTAAACCCTAGAGGACAATACAGGTGACGGTCTGGTGTGAATCTTTCCTTTTATATGTATTTATGTATATATACACCAATTTACATATATTTATTGTACACATGTACAAATGTTTCTTTAGAATTCCATTAAGGAATTGGATCAAACAGTATATGCATTTAAAATTTTGAAAGGACTGCCCTCAATAAGGCTACATGAATTTTCACTCACCAATCTTGTGCTATATGACTTTAGAATTTGCCAGAAATCCTATTTGGAAACAGGTGGGATATAAAAAATAAGTTAATGCTTTTTAAAAACAGCTCTCAGGCAGGGAGAGAAATGACTTGGGTATTAGGGAAATTACTAGCTCTCAATTACAGACCACAGGCATGCCTGCAATCCCAGGCATGACCCACTGATTTGATGCAAGCCACCTTCAGGGAGGCAGGGAAGGAGGACTGAACTTCCAGAAAAATCCCTCCACTGTCTTGCTTACCTTGGTTGCACCAGCCCCAGACCCCACCTGCCTGGCCTGATTTGAGGCAGATGGCCCGGCCACTCTGGGACTGCCCTGGAAAACAACTGCTGTCACCTCTTGTAGCAAGGAAAACAACCAGTTGAAGGAGAGGGACTCAGAGCACTGAGCTGGGCTGAGAGGGAGGCCAGCCTTCCCACTCATCTCCCTGTCTGTCTAGTCCAGGGAAACCTTGGGATTGCTATTTAATGCACTAAATCTCTTCCCCCCCCCACAAACAGAGTGTTATATGTATTTTTTAAAAAGCATTTTTTAAAAGAGCCTTTTGGCATATCTTAGGAAGATTTGGTAAGGAGAGGCAGAGGCAGAAAGGAGGTTACAGTACTAATTTTTCCTACTCCTTTGTAAAAAGGAATATGTGCATATATTTTGTCTTTTTTGTGTGTTTTCTATTCTAAAGACAAGTCTTTTCCTTTTAACCACAATTCATAGGTAGCAGCCAGAGAGAGTATGGGCCCCCACTCCCTTATAGGGTGGTATTTATTAAATTTTAACAGAAAAAAGTAATCAAGTTTGAGGTTGCTTTTATATTTAAAGAGAAAACAAGGCTATTCTGGCTTAGTCTGCCTTCCAGACACAGATCCTAAGATCCCACGATCATATGCTTATTGTTATAAAATTAGTACAGAGGTAGCCCTAAATAGTGTCAAAAGTGACTAGATTCTTTCTTCCCTGTCCAATATTCTCCTCGCTGGAGGGAACCACAGTTAACACTTCAGTGTACATCCAGACGTCTTCCTTTGCAGTTACAAATACACATATATTCATGTTTTCTTTTAAACAAATGCGATTCTGTGCCTTGTCTGCGCCCCCCTCACTTAATATATGTTTAAGATTTCTCTATACTAGTACTTAGAGTTGGACCTCATTCCCTTTACTATGTGCATAACACAAATGGATGCAATTTATTTTAATTTTTCAAGAGTTACAAATGGTTCTTCAGTAAACATCCTGTGCATACATGTGAGCTACATTCCTAATCTGTGAAATTGTAGGCAAAGGAGTTAATATATTTGTTACCATCCCCAGAAAGTGAAAAGCCAGGATCCAGGTAACTCTAGTCCTGGTGCTCTGAGAACAAAATTTCAGTGAGCAAGTGAGTGTGGGAAATGGCTGCATGCTAAATAAGCCCTGCTCTTGGCAATTCATAATCAAGTAACATATTAAAAGTTCTGGTAATTTTTCAGTAACCACTCACTGGTGAGTGGTTTAGAAAGTTGTTTGCAAAGGGAAAGCCCTTAATTCTTGTACACATCTATTAAAGTTTCCCTGAGCAGTTTGTTAAATGCCACCCAGTGGTAATCTCTCACAGACAGGACAACGTTTAGGTAGGAACTTGGCCACATACTGTTCCCACCAGGCTGGGCAGCTGGGGTGGAGTCAGGTTTGGATTCTGTCCAGGAACCAGGCTAGGCCTGTCAGTCCCTCCCAGGCTCCTCACATCAGGTGAGAGGGACCCAGCAAAGCCTGTATAAGTCAGGTCTTCAGGTGGATTACAGGGAGAGGGGTGGAGTTTCACTCTGGCCTAAGTCTGGCTGAAGTGACATCAGACCTAGCAGATGCATTTTGCATCCATCAAGCCCAGGCCTCCAACACACAAGAGTATGGGTCCAGATTCCTTAGAGAAGGAACCACTTGGGGGTGTATGAGGGTGGCCCTATCCTGTCCCTGCACACCAGCCTACCTCCTCCAACTGGTGAAATCATGGTTAACTTTAAAGACTGAGTGCAGAGGACACCTGTGAAGCCTCTATCTGATCCCCAGACCACTCCCTGAGTACCTGATAGCACCTCTGCTGTATCTGTTGGAGCAGTTGGCAGTCTGGTGCATCTTCTAGTTCATGCATACTTGACTGGGCTGGGCAAGAGGCAGGGCCCCATAGTGGATTAGGTAATTCACAATCTTCCCCAACAAAGTTAAGCTCTTTCTTAGTGGGCCTTTCCTTCACTCACACATCAATTCAGTCATTGTTGAGCACCTACTATGAGTCAGGCATTACTCAAAGACTGCCCGAATACAGTGGTAAGGCACACAGAATCCCTGTGCTCATATTCTTGGATTCCCTGCAGCCTAGCCCAATGTTTAGCCTAAAGCCTGACACAGTAGGGTTTAGGAATGGCAATCTAATTGGGAAGCACTGTTACAATTTACCTTCTGTGCTACAGATTAGAAATCATTTTCTCAAGATGCCTTGTCCACAGTTTATATGACAGAAAGTCACTTGACTGTACGAAATACTTTTAAAACACTTGAGGTGACCTTGGGGGCCTGATAGAGGACCGGGGTGCTAAGGCCCCAGCCACCCTAGGGCTCACCACCACCTGGCCGGACCAGGCAGGCGAAGACCCGCCGGACACCGCCCCCAGGCCCCGCCCCCCAGGTGCCGCCCGGCCCCGCCCCCGCTCTCCATAGTAACCGCGCCGTGGAGGCGGCGGCCATCTTGGCGGCGGAGCCATGAGCGGGTCCAACCCGAGGGCTGCGGCCGCGGGCTCGGCGGCTGGGCCCGGGGGGCTCCTGGCTGGCAAGGAGGAGAAGAAGAAGGCGGGCGGCGGTGTCCTGAACCGGCTCAAGGCGCGGCGGCAGGCGGCCGACGACAGCATCGGGGCAGCGGTCACGGAGCAGGAGCTGCTGGCTCTGGACACCATCCGGCCCGAGCACGTCCTGCGCCTCAGCCGGGCCACCGAGAGTGAGTGCCCGCGGGGCCGCGCTCTCCCATCGCGCCGCGCCCTTCCGCGGCTCGCCGGGCGGCGCCGGCCGCTCGCCCCGCGCGGTGTCCACCCAGGCTCCTGGGGCCGCTCGGGCCGGGGCTCCGCCCCCCACCCACACCTCGCCCTGGGTGGGAAGGGGTTCTCCCGGAGTTGGGCTGCATTCCCCTGGTCCCGGCCCCGGCAGGGCCCCCGGGCCGGGCCGCCCTCCTCAGCGGGATCCGTTTGGTAGGAAGCCCCTCTTAGCTTACCGGATCCTCCTGACCCTGGTAAGTGGGCCTGCTGCCCCCTCATCCTCGAAGCCCCCCAGCTGTCGGCCAAGGTCCTGCTCAGCCAGGCTCCCCCCAACCTGTCTACCCCCAGCTCTGCAGCCCTCTGCCAGCGCAGACCGCCACCTGCTTTCCCTGCGTTTCCCTCCGCTCCGGCTCCTGGCAGCCCCTCCCTGCTCCCCAGCCTGCCGTGACCCCCTACTCCCTTCGGTCCTGAGGATTACCCCTTTGTGTGCAGAGAGGCTTTTCAAACATTGCCGTGGCATGTCACGCAAATTTAAAACGTGCCACATACAAATATATATTAATGAAGTTTTAGTTTATGTGCAGAATCCAAAATGTGAATCCTGCTTTTGACACCTGTTATAGTGAATTCAAAATATGCCAGGGTTTCAGGAATGCATTTCTTCCATAAAATGCAACTATCCTACACCTTTTCGTTGATATAAGGAAGGTGGGAAGAAATACATTGCCCACCCCAGTCCTGTGTCTCCTCCCTTTCCGTGTTCTCTTCCAAGCCAAAGCCCTGGCTTGATGTCCTTTCTCTTGCTGCTTATTCGCCACAGACCCCCACAGGAGTTTGCAGTCACCTGGTTAGGCCCTGCTTACTCTGCCCGTCCCTCCTGCCTCCAGACTTCTAACCCTGCAGCAGGTGGGTTAGAACTCCATTTAAACACATTTATCCTGACCTAATGTCTAATAAAGTGGCACTCCCTTGATAGACCTAAGACTGCAGTAGTGCTCTCTGCCGAATCGCTTTATTCTGTCAGCCTGGAGCTGCTCAGGTGTGTCTCAGGGAGCTGGGGGTAGCTTCATTAACGGGTGGGCAAGTGGGTCTTGGTCCATCCTGTAGGAAAGGGAATAATTCCCACCTCCTGAAATAGTTTTAATTTGATTCTGGTTAGTCTGACGTCCCCATTTTCCATCACTGTTTGGGTTGGGTCTGTCCTTTGCATGCCTGAACATATCTTTGGAAGGCCTGGCTATTCAGTTTCATCGAAACATTGTGAAAAAAGCTGCTGCTGTTCCGCCCCAGTTTTCATTTCGGGTCTGAAGGTACAGAAATGCTCATCACTGGACTGTTCTAACTTAAAGCTTTCTGCTGATCTCAAGGGTGAATCAGGCCATCCTAATGGCTGGTCCTAAGCAGCACTCTTGGTGGGCACTCAGGTCCTGTGTAGGAGCTCAGGGTTGGTGTGGCATCTCACACCCACCTCAGCAGCTTACTGGAGAAAGCCACAGGTCAGAGCTCGTGACCTTGGGATTTTGTCATTCTCCTTAATATTTATTGAGGAGCCTCTAAAGGTGCAGCCAGTCTCAGCCTGTTTGGGAGCTACAGAATAATCAGTAGCTCTCATGTTTGCCATCCTCTGGACAGACAGCTTGTAAAACATGAAACCGCCAACACAAGCAAGGAATATAAAATAAAGTTCCAGAATGAGTTATGGAGAAGATGCTGTCAGGAGTCACCACAGGAGAAGGCAATGAAATCATTACTGTTTTGATTAGCAGCTTATCTTGTCATAGGCTGTACTTGACTTTTGACCTAAATGCCCTCACCAGCAAACCTATCCCACCGCCTGTGTACAATATGGCTTACAGCCTGATTTTATATAGCCCACAAGCTAAGAATGGTTTTTACATTTTCAAGTGGTTGGGAAAAAAAATCTTGTAACACCTGGTTATATAAAATTGTATTTCAGTATCTGTAAAGAGTTTCATTGGAATACAGCCACACTCATTCTTTTGAGTGTTGTCTGTGGCTGCTTTTGGGTGGCAGTGACAATTGAGTAGTGACAGAGACTATGTGGTCTCAAAGCCTAAATTATTTATGATGTGGCCCTTCACAGAAAACGTTTGGTATTCTCTGTGATACAGTTGGCAAACAAGCACTTTATTAGACATTAGGTCAGGATAAATGTTTTTAAATGGAATTCGAAGAAAATTCTGTCCCGTTGTGATATCCAAGTTGATCATGAAAGATCTGTAGGCCATATTTGAGGTGTTCCCAAAGAAATCCCCTGTTACTATCCCTGTTCCTAAGTGTTGATAATCTCTCATCCAAACCAAGTCCGTGCTCTTTTTCTGCTTTCTTGGATCCCTTCATTGTCTCCATATAACTGTCGCTTATAACATAAGAGGAAGTTTTGGAGTATATTTTAAGTGATTTGTGTAAGAAAAAAACCTGAGTTTGCTCCAAAACTTGAGAAGTAAGTAAATGTTTTGGAGGATTATTTAATGGCATTGGTCTCTCTCTCACTTTCAGATTATTTATGTAAACCGGAAGACAACGTCTACAGTATTGATTTCACTCGCTTCAAAATTCGAGACTTGGAGACAGGGACAGTGCTTTTTGAGATTGCCAAACCTCGTGTTTCAGGTAGGCCTCAGTGTTGTAGGGGACACTTGACAGAGCAAAAGGTCTTTGAAGGTCGAATTTCTGTGTGCCACTGCATCCTGTGTCACGGACTCTCGCGTGTCCCCCTTCCATGCCTCCTTCTGAAGCCTTGCCTGCCAAGCGTGCTGGTTTGGAGCTGTTAGGAGGTGGATGTTTGTTGAATGTCCATTCTGTGGTCACTGTGTCCCACACATCTTTCTGTTTACATCAACTCATGTAATCCTCACACCTCTGTAAACCGATGAGGAAACTGAGGCTCAGAACTTCAGGTGACTTCTAAGATCCTGTGCTCTTTCATCTTGCCGTATTGCCTCCACTTAGGAAAGGGATCTGTGAAATTAAACTGTTATGAAGAAAGCTCACCTGAGCCTTGGGTCCTGGGGACACTGGAAGGGTGATACTGAGGGTTCTAGTCCAGGCCTTGAAGCAGTTTCGTCTGTCTTCTCACTCTGTTTTCTTTAAACAGTGCTTCATATTTCCTTGTAAATCTTAGTTTGGATTTTAATCTCCACCATTTTCTAGGTGAATAGAAAGCTCAGACACATGAACTCTCATCTACTTGGGATTCCTTAAATTAGCCTTGACTAGATGCTTCCAGTTCTTGTGATGCAGTTCTGGGTGACTCATTTCTGGCTGGGGAATCACACACAGGTCTGGGAGCACATCAGTGCAGATTAGCACCCCCTGGAGTTGGTTATTAAAACACCAGCACAGATAACCCACCCTTCAGAGAACCAACAGTGGTCAGTGTTAATAACTCTCTGCAAAACTTTTCTCATCTGATTTGCTGCTCAGAAGGAGCCTGTAAATTTGGTAAGGCAGGTATTAGTATCCCAGATAAGTTGAAAGACTGTCCTGAGAAAGTCTCAGCTTAGCTTAATTGCACAGCCAACGCTAGAGCCCTGATCTCTGCCCCTGGCCCAGAATTCTGTCTGCCATCACGATCTAGCACTGACCAAGGCACTCACCGGCTCAAGTCTATGCGTAGTTCGTTTGCATCGAGAAGGTCGGGGCCAGCTGGCTTCCTGGTTGTTGTGAGTGTATCCCTAACACACAAGTCCCACTACTTAGGGGTCTCGAGGGCCCTAGGGCTGCTTCAGGTGTGTGGATTTGGATTCGCCTGGGCTCAGAGTAGTCTTCTCAGGACAAAACTGAACTCTTTCAAGGTCAGCTGCAGGTCCAGAAAAAAATACCTTGATTTTCAGTCTCTGCAGTCTTTACCTTGAAGGGTCTTGATTCATACTGAATCAGTACCTTCCTGCAGCACTTGTTCTGATTAGTTCAAATCCCTAAGAAAATTTGGTCTATTTCTCTTTGAATCACATTGTTGGAGCCGGTCTCTAGAGCCTCTAGGCTCTGGCTCTGAATCCCCACTCAGCTGGTTGCCCAGTTGCTCTTGGGCTTGTTACAGGCAGAGACATTTGATGCTAAAAAAGACATGGGGAGCATGTTACTAACCTCTCTGAGCTTGAGCTTCCGGATCTGTGAAATGGAGATCAGGACCAACACGGATAACATGGAGAGCACAGTAATAGGGGTGTTGTGCACAGTAAATACTGGCCATCCTTCTCTGGTGCCAGCACGGTTAATTGGTTGTGCCACTGGGACTCCTGGTGCTGAGCAGGTGCACTCGAGATTCTGTGTGTTCTTTCAGACCAAGAGGAGGAGGAGGAGGAGGAGGAAGGTGGGGATGTGGATGTCAGTGCAGGACGTTTCGTCCGTTATCAGTTCACACCCGCATTTCTGCGCCTCCGGACAGTTGGGGCTACGTGAGTACCAGTATTTATTGAGGGAAGAATGTTCTGCTTGTGTACAAAGGATGTTCTTGGTTTGGTTTGGGTTGGCTTTAGAGGTGGAACGAGGCAAAGTAGGGCTCACAGAGCTTTATTTTACAGGGTGGAGTTCACAGTGGGAGACAAACCTGTGTCAAACTTCCGGATGATCGAACGGCACTATTTCCGGGAACGCTTGCTGAAGAACTTTGACTTTGATTTCGGCTTCTGCATCACCAGCAGTAGGAACACTTGTGAACATATCTATGAGTTTCCCCAGCTTTCCGAGGATGTCAGTATGTATCCAGTGACTTTTACAGCATTCCAGAGTCTTACGGCTAGAAGGAACACACCTCGAAATCCATCTGGTCCAACACCCTCATTTTGCAGTGTAGGAAGTAGTGAAGTGATGCATATCTAGTCATTTGACCTTGGGCTTCTCATTTCCTATTGAACCTATCTAATGTTTCAGACTGGATCCCAAGAAATAGACTTCTGCTGGGTCATTTGTTTGTGAGTTAATACTCTGAGCTGTCTCTGTCCCCCAGCACTCTTGCATGCCTAGGAGTCCTTTGGTTGGTGGGGTGCCCGTGGGAAGTGGGCACAGTCAGGAACAGCTTTCTGAATTTGGACCAGAATGTCTACACAGGATCAGAACAGAAGCACCAAGTAAATAAGCTGCTGTAGTCTGTGGTGGCAGAAGAATAAGCTTATCTCCCTGGGGCTCTGAGAACCCAGGCTGGATCTGACCGCGGAGGCCATGTCAGAGTTGATTGCACCCTTGTGCTGAAGTGGGTGTCACGTTCATTTGGGAGCCTCTGGTCTCTAGTTCTCCCCAGCTTTCGAGAGCTGGCTCTCTTCTGGCCTCATTAGTCTAAGAGAGTATACTCACATTTTCTGGAAGGGCTGGCTTACGAATGTTACAGGGGATACTGAGTTTTTTCCGACCTGGCCCATGGGGCAGACTCACACACAGTCTTTGCTTTTTCCCTTTCCTGATTTGCAGTTCGTCTGATGATTGAAAATCCTTATGAGACTCGTTCTGACAGCTTCTACTTTGTTGACAACAAGCTGATAATGCACAACAAGGCTGATTATGCCTATAACGGAGGCCAGTAAACCGCTGCAGGAGTGGACAGGGAGGCGCTTTGCTGTGGCCCAAGTTCCTGGCACATGGGGGTGCTTGAAGCTGCAGCTTATCAACACACTCCCAGGAAGCCAAGACTGGGGTGGCAGTTTTCTGTGCTCCAAGAGAGTGCCAAGCAGTGCTGTGTTTTCTTCCCAGTATTTTTTCTTCCCTTTTTCCCCCTGTCCCTTAGGTTGCAGCAGCGGTACTGTAGTAAAGTGAGAGATTGAAATACAGATGAAAAACAACATTTATTTTCATGGGCTCATAGCTGCCTCCTGCTTGTCCTAATGAGCCTGGGTCTCTCTGGGCACAGTTGTGCCAGGGTGAGAAGGCTCTGGTCAGCCGGCTTGTAGGTTAGCAGCTCTTAAGGTAGGGTCCTGGGTGTGGCGGGAAGCAGAAAGGTGGGCCTCTTCTGGGCAGCACCTCTCACTTCTGGTGTTGCCATCAGCACTGTCTGACCTCAGCCTGTGCATAGTCCTAAACCAATTGGAAAAATACTTAAAAGAGGGTGGAAGGGAGGAGAGGCGCCAAGAGTCAGGGCGCTAGGGATGGATGAGGCCTCCAAATGGAGAGATCCGTGTTGTAGAGAGGCCTGCTTATCTGTCTGACATCTGGGATCATCGGCCTGTCCTCTGGGGATACACCAAGGTGCAGCCTGGCAGTGCCTTCCTGTTCTCATTTTGGAAGAAAGATGCACTTGCCCTGCTTCTGGCTCCTAACATTTGAGTACTCTTCAGGTAGAATGTGTTGGGTTTGTTCTTGGGAACAGTAGTATCTTTTGAGGCCAGAACAGGCCTCACTGTATTTTGTTTTTTATTTCTAGGCTTCTTTTTGGGAGATTTTATAAGTGTCAGTGGTGTTCCCAGCGTGCGTTGTGTGTGGTTAGACTTCTGCTAGTGTTAATCAGGCTCCTGGGGCTAATCTGGCTCATGTTGGGCCTGAGTATAGTTACAAACCAGCAGCTACTTAAAAGAGTGCTGGTTTTCACTACAGAGCATAGCCTGGAGGGTTGGCTTTTGATGGGGATTTGCCAGAGAACTCTCTGGATTTCTTATTTAGGAGGATTTTCCTGTCTGCCTTTATATTGAGGTAGTTTCTGGAACCATCCTGGCAGGTCAGAGTTAAGTAATGCATATTCTGATCCTTCAAACTCCTAATTGGAATTTTGGGTGTTTGGAAAGGGTGAAATAGGCTGATGTGGCCTATCAGAGAGATGTGTTCTCGGAATACCTTCCTTGCGGTCCTGTGGGCTACTTTTGCCCTTAGGCCCTTATCAGATAGATCTTGCCCCCTCAGCTCCCGTGCGGTTTTCCGACTGTGTAGGCGGCTATAACGCTCAGCCTGAATGCTGTGATCCTCTGATAAGATTGTTGCAGTGGCCAGGATTTAGCACTGACAGACAGGTAGCAGCAGGAAGAGCCTAGGGATGTGGTAACAGTCCCTGTGCCCAAGATGCTTGAGAGAAAGGTCATGTGGGGCCAGCACGCTGCCACAAAAGCCCCAGGGTATCCACTGACCAGGGTTGCCCCCTGATTGGATTCCAGAGCGTGAGTGGCCTTGATCGGGGCTGTTTCAGATGCTGGCAGCTTTCTCACTGAGAAAACCTTGGGTCAGCCCCTGTGTGCTGCCACTGGATCCAGCCACCGAGTGAGGGAAGAGACTGTGTACCCTGTGGAATGGGTTCTCAACGCCAGACAGAGTGAATCTCAGAACTGGAGTCAGCACAAATCCAGGTGCCTTACGTGTGGCTGCGTCTCATGTGCTGCTGGGGAAAGCTGCATCGCTCTCATTCGCTCCTCAGCTGCGGACAGACGTCAGCACTGCCTCCCTCTGCTATGTACTGTGGCTCCCCTAACATACCTGTGCATTCCTATCGAGCTTCAGAACAACCAGTTCTCAGAAGCCCATTGGTAGAGTTTCTACTTTTTGGTACTTATCTAGGAGGTGGTTTCTGGAGCTGCCCAGAGCGGCTCAACAGAGTGTGTCTGGGTAGTGCGTTGCAGTGCAGCCTGTGTCTTGTAGATAGTGGGCCATCTTTTTCTCTGTAGTGTTAGCTTCTGCTAGGAGGAGGACCACGGGCAGAGGAGGCAGGCATTCTGGCTTGAACAGTGCTGTGTCCCTGTCCTCATCAGCTTGCTTTTGGTGTCACTGGAGACCAGGTTGAGGCCAGCTGCTCAGTCTGAACCCAGTGGGACAGGGATTTGCCATTTCCTGCTCCTGAAGGTCTGGTGTTCTCCAGACATTTTTTGTACCTGCAACTACAAATTCTTATGTCTAGCTACTCAGGAAATCTTGAGAAGCATTGCCATACCAGGGTGTTAACCAGGGTGAGTTTTAGATACAAGCTTTTGTGCCTGAATTGGGGAGAGAATTGGAAGTCATCTTTTGAATGTAGTGGAATCAATCAGAAGTTGAATCAGGAGGTCATGTGATTGAGGAATCTGGACTATACTCTATACTGACAACAGTGGTCTTTTTTTTTTTTTTTTTTTT